TCCATTTGCTTGTTTGATTGGTGTGTGGTGGTGTTAGTGCGGTGCACTTTGTGAGCTACGAGTCAAATGTGCAACAAAATTCATATCCTTGATGCTATTTCATGTTTCCATTCAGATTATAGGGATCAGGATGATGTTTCATCAACTCCAGCCTTTCAAGTCAATCGTCAAACGTCAATCATACCTTTAATAGTTTGCATGCGACAAAAGAAATTTAAAAATCAAATCAGCCACACAGTTCAAACATAAATACTCTCCCCATTGGTAGGAAACATTGACTATACTCCATTCAATATGCAATGAATGCTTCAATTCGCCAAGAATTGAATTAATTCAATAATATAAAAATTTTGATTTAGTGTTATACTGCTATATATCCTTTAACATGTAAATTACTATTTCCTCATGGCTGAGAATCTACAGAAATTAGGAAAAAGATTTATGCATAATGGATTACATCTCCGTAGGTTTATCATAATCTCCTAGGATTTCTTAAAAGCGTGATCTGCACAATAATTGAATCAATAGGTTGATTTGTTGATGAATATATCAAAAGAAGTAAACAATAAATTTTACAAAAAAAGGAAAGAAAGAGAGGGTTGGACTAATTGGTGAAAAGAAAAACACAGACCGACGTTAGATAAAAAAAAGATGGTTAGAAGGGCATGCGTGAAAATTAAGCGTGAAGAGGCATTTTAATGGCTTGAGAATTACACTAATCTGTCCTATAATTTATAAAATTTTTAGTGGGGGGAAAGATTCAATTTTTTTTTAGAATTTTCAAAATTATATTTAGGTTCCAATTTTTTTTTAAAATTTCAGTGTGGTTGTTGCCCTCACTGCCCCCATACCAAATCCGCCCCAACCTAGACACCCTGTAGCAAAAAACTTAGACACTGACACCCCATCCTCCTAGCAACTGCGATAAACTGTTTGTATTAAGCTAGACTACACCTTCGACTTATTTCCTTACAAATTCCGGCTTTACAATGTTAGAGCAACGCCAACCTCAAGCTTTCTCTAGAAGCCTCGCCAGTCCAGTCCAGTCCAATCCTTTGTTCAAAGGTAAAACTTATTCGTCTTGTATTCCTTATTTATATTTATAATTTATGTATAAAAAAATTAATTTTTAAAGGAGGTGGTTTGAGAAGCTTTCTCTATCACTTTTAAGAATTTTGAATTATTAATTCATCACCCTCCAATCATATTCTATTAAATGTCTCAAATAACTATCCATAAACTTCCTTTAACCACTGCTTATTTAATTTTTTTAATATTAAATTTATAATCCAGTAAGTCCTATGATATTTTTAATAACTTATAAAATAATGAATGAGAGAGAGTAAAGGGTGAAGAAGGTGATTGGAAGGAGAAGGGGATGGTTTGTGCATTGCATGAGGTGAGACGCTAGTATAATAAGAAGTAGGCAGAGCAGCTATAAACGCTCGCTTCACGCCCTTGAATTCTTATTCACGAATAAATACCAATAGAAATATTCGATTTTGATTTCATAGAGTCGGTGTTGCTGTTACTTGTGCGTAAAGTCGTTCCCTACTCCTGTATGCTAAGGGATTTTTGTTTTTGGAATAGAGGATAGTGTTTTGCTAATGCCTTGAATCAATCTTTTGTTATGAGGTCTGGAAAAAACTACAATCAATATGATTTCTCTAATCCTCCATTCGAAGAGTATTAAGTTATTTTTCTTTTTTGCAAGGACCAAGAGAATGAATCTAATCCTAAGAAGAATGCTTAGTATAAATAATTCATTTCTTGATCTTTGAGCCCCCTCAGCCACTTCGAATGCCTCCGATCAATACAATGGAATGTGTCTTTAAACAAAACTCATTTTCACTATCTCGGGACACTCACACTCTAAAAATACCCCAATGTTATTGTTCCGAGTTAGTGACAACGCCAATTTTTTTTTTTT